TTCTTTGGGTGCGATCATGAGGGATGGAGAATAGGCCTTTGGAGAGTGATTAGTTATGTTTGTTAAACTAGTTCTGAGCTGAATCCAGTGACTTTTGGTCACGAGACAGGCAAAAAAGCACATGTCCAAGTGTGACAGAGTGGAAAAAAGCATGTGTGTGGCCCATTTTTAGTAATTTCTGTAAAAAAATTATCCCACTGGCTATATGCTACATTAGCCAAGCTGTTCCACTGCTTTAAGTAGTGTCTCTGCTTCCAGAAAAAATGTAATCTCTCCAAATGAACTGGCTATTAATCGAAGGAGACCTCAAAAGATCCCTAAACAATCCCATATACTAATTAAAGACAGATCAAAGTGCAGTTTCTCCTATTCTCTCTGGAGGCAATTGAATTTTTGAGGGGCTACTTTTTGAGGGAAAGATAATACCTCATGGCATTTCCTTGGTTTCAAGTGCAGAAATGCACTCTGTTTGCTAGCTGGCAGCAAAGGCGCGGGTGATGTATGAGCAGCAGCCCAGACTGAATGCAGGAACATGCTGCTGCCATTTAATCCAAGATAATATATTTCATGTTCATACTCCTGAAGTTTTTCAGCAACTGGTTTAATGTATGGGAAAGTATTTGGCTTGCCTTGGAAAAGTTTCCCATTTGAAAACAAGCTGCAGTGGGAGAGCTGGCAGTTGCACAGGAGGCTGCTCTGTGAAAATTGGATTTCCCTGAGTGGCACAGTGGGGCTGGGTCACAGCGAGGGCTTTTGAACAGCTCCTGGGAAAGGCTCCAGGCTGTGCAGATCTGCCGATGGAGAACCCCTGTGCCTGGTCTCCGGAGGATTGCTGCTGCCTCGCCGCTTGGCAGAACAGGGATTTCGAGATGGATTTTATTCCTGTTTTCTGTCCCTGGGGAAAGGGGAACGTGCAGAAGAAGAGCCAGAGCCTGGCTTACACTCATGAATTAAGTCTTGGGACCATTTTAAATCTCCAGCTGTGGAGGCAAGCTCTGTTTTAACTTTGCTCTCAATTCAAGATTATTTTTCTTAACCTCAGCAACTACAAAACCACTAAGTTATTAGTGAGCAATACCGGGACACCTGGTCCTCATTGAGAGCACCAGTCCAGGTGTTTGCCAAAGGTCTCATGCATGAGCTCAGGTGATACACTTGATTTTTTCTGGGGCCCCTGCTATCTGCACAGAAAGCAATGGCTCCCCTTGCAGGGGTGATGTGAGGACAAGATCTGCTGTGGTTGTGCAGTGCTCAGAGGATGATAATGCTGGAAGGGGCTGCTTGCTCCAGCCCTGGAGAGATTTGTTGCTGTGCCTAAGCTGTTCTGGAGACAGCTTTATTGTTCAGCATAAGCATGAGGAACAATATCGCATCCAAAAAAGTTCCTCTCCCACCCTGGCTTGCAGCTTTCCTGGGCTTTTCCCTTGCCTTTCCCAGCAGAGAAGACCACACACCCTTTGGTGCTGGTTCTTTCTTCCATGTATCTACAGCTTCTATCTCCACCCTTTCTGCCACACGAGACATTGCCTGCCCTGGAGGCTGCTGCAAAGCAGGCCAGCTTGTCCTGGTCCCAAAGCCTGTGACCAAACCTGCCATTTTGCAGATTTTTTTCTGGATCAATCCCTTTCCTTGTGGCACAGAGGGTGTGAATGTGTGCCTCAGTCCTGCAGCAGATGTTATGCAGCGGAACGTGACAGGAGCGTACCCTGGCATCAGCACTGTGTGTGCTGCCAGTAAGGGTCCTTTGCATGATGGTTTGCTGACAAAAAGCTGTCGCACCCCCAGCTGACCTCAACAAAGCTGTTTCAACATGGGTACAAGGCAGGATCCCTGGCTGGACCAGTTTGGGGTGCCCATCCCCATCTCATTCTTGAGAACGAGGCATGTTGTAGCCCTTAGTGAGCTCGTATGAACTATATAAAAATACAGCATGGCTTCCTCTGGTTCACACTGACAAAGCTGCTGCCCTGGGACTTGTGCTGGCCAGGGCTGTAGCAGCTACATCAGCTGAACTGCACAGTAGGACGTAGAGTAAAACTGCCCGAACTTGGCAGAAATGCAAGGGAGGGGGTCTGCTGCACACAGCCACAAGAAGCAAATCTGAGACCTTTCTTCAAAAGGCCTCCCTGTGGGTATGAGGATTTATGAATGGCTAGTCTTCTTTCTTAGAGCAGTCATCTGAATTTCTCCTGAGAGCTTTTATGTTTTTTTTATGCTTGCGGATGTGTTTTCTCTGTTCCCAGGCTGGCATCTACAGCTGAAGGCACACCTCAGTTCTCGGTGCCTGAAGGAGGACAGCACCCTGGCTCATGTTTCCTGCATCCCTTGGCCCTGGGTGAGTGGTTCAGTCTCTCTGTGCCTTGTCTGGAGGGGCACATCCTTACCAGGGAGTGTGGCAAGAGGGGATGAGTTAAAAGGTGAATTGACTGCACCCTATGACACTAGCTGCACAGGGCAGACTGACTTTTGGAAATGGGAAGTGCTTGGTTTTAATGGCTCATTGTTAAACATCCACCAGTGTCAAGGACAGAGAAGTTGTCATGTTCTGCTCAAGGAGCTGCTGCCTGGCTCTGTGCTTGCTGTTAACAGTCAGAGTCCATAGGCCATCTCTCTTGCCCTTCCTGAAATGTCTAAACAAGCATCCTCAATGCTCTGTGTTGCAATGGGACACTACCAGCTTGTTTGAGGGCCAGGGTGTATTATTTGTCACAACAGGGAGCAAGCAGGACAGTGGGAACAAGTTGAAGTAAACCTTTCAGAGGTATGTTGACTTCAAGATGTTCCTTGGAGGCTCTTCTTTCTCCCCAGCAATAGAGACAGAAAATAGACATGTGTTGTGCTGGCCCGGAGGCCCTGTCTGCAACCTTGGGGCGAAGTGGCATCAAACACCAGGAACTGACCTGGAAGGAATTATGAGAGGCTGCGCAAAATGGCCATTTCACCCCAAGGCAGGACCACCTCTCCCTAAACCAGCCCTGACAATACCTCTATTAGGTTGGGAGTGGGGTTAATGGTCCTTGTAGGAAGGGCTGGGAAAAGACAGAAGAGAAAAAATGATGCCTGGAAAATAATAATGTGACAATGCGTGGTGAGAGGGGAAAACAGAGACGTGGAGAGACCCCTGCCTGGGACCATCCAGCTGCTTTCTCTGCCTGGCTATGGTGTCACGTTGTGATAGCAACAGGGTCATGGCTTGCACAAGGACCACTGTGTCCTACGATACCCTTGCCACCTTGCCCTGATTTCGGCCAGTTTTTGTTGCTGCTGCCTCAGAAAGGTTTACTGACAGTGAGTCATATTAAGTGAGAAGTCAGCCTTGAGGGCAACACTGGAAAATAATTTGGGGAAGGAAAGAAAGTACATATTTGGTCAGGTCTACATGCCAGGTCTTGAACTAGCGGAGCTGTTTTGGCAAGAAGTGTGGTTTTGTTTGATTGAAATAGTTATGAATTCAACTTCAAGGCTGATTGCATCTTTATGGCCTAAAATTGCTTTATAGCTGTAATTTATTCTCCCTTTCATACAGGAATAGCGCTGGCAAGGGCTGGTCTTGCTGTAACTAACACCCAGAGGGTGAACCAAGAACAACTATTCACTGTCTGACAAAACAGGAACTTGAAGATATCACAAAAACCTGTCAAGCGACACATCCAGCACCATCAAAGGAGGCACTTTGTGTACTAAACCTATGGACTGCCTTGGGTGGGTCCTGTTGGTGCTGATGTCAGTTCAATATTTGGGCAAGTTCATGGACTTTGAACTACAGAGACCCCACCTCTTGTTTAGGCAGCCTTTGAGCCATCAGCTACTGGAAGAGGGATTGGACCCCAGTGCGGGAGCATGGCATAGCTGCCTCGTTCTTATGCTATTTGGAGGCATATGCTAGTCGGCATGGTCAGAGACAGGATATTGGACTAGACTGACTTTTACTGTAACCATATACACCCATGAGACTTTTCACCTCTACAACTATGACTACCCCAGCTGCTTTGCCAGCACTTCACGGTAGAGTTTTTTTCAGCTCTTGACACACACAAGGCACCTGACGCATACATCGAGCCTATAAAGGCCAGGGTCTTCACCTAGAGATGGCCGGCATGCCAGGTGGCACATTTGAAACACCATGCCCAGATTTGACGTCCTATTTTCACCTGGTTGAGGCTGAACTGTTTAGACAACACTCACACTTGGAAAACTACCTTAGCACAGTACAATAGAATCGGTTTTAAATTACTTTATAGCTCCTGTGGAATACAAACATAGCAGCAAGGCTCCAGTGCAGTGAGAAGTCCCCCATTCAAACCAGTCTCTGTTCTTATAAAATGCTTATAGAATAAAACTATTATAAAATGTGAGTTAAAGACATGGGTTTGTATGTTCTTTGTAAATACCATCAGAAAGGTTTTTCAAAGCCACAGGGATAAAAGGTGAAATTGTCTTTATTCATCTTAGTATAAAACAGGAAGAGGTAGAATTAATAATTTCTAACACATTAACCTTTTTCTAACCCTGTCCATTAGATGCTTCCAGTGTCTCTGAACTGAGCTCAGGTCTTGTCCTTTAAACATGTCTCTCAGATCATAATAGCTTGTCCGATATGATGGCTCAAATCAGGCATCTATTAAGTTTAAACCCTTATTTCTTCTTCCAAAGGTGCTATGCAATGCCTCAGAAAAGCTTGTGCATGTCAGTTCCTGGAAAAGACATGATTTCTTGCAAGCACCAAAATTAAAATCAAACCAGCAAGCTCTACCATGTCCCTCCTCTGCATTTTTGTGGAAGCCCCTTAAAAATGCCTTGCAAAACAGGTGCACTTCTCAGGTTGTTAGCACAACCTAGCTGCAAATTGAGGAGCAAATTTCTTACCGTTAATATTCAGGCTTTGTGTAACTGTTAAGTCTTGAGTTCTGAAAGGTCATATCTCAGCAAAAGGTAGGAGAAATTTTATTTCCATGGGAATTTCTTTAGGATAATTCACTAGTAATTCTCCAATGAAGAATTCACTTCTCATATGTTATGGCAATAGTTTTGCTATCAGAAAAAACATTTTTTTCACTTTTTGTGTGTTCAGAATCTGCTGCTAATGACTCTAATTTCTGTGTATCCTCTCTAGCACATGGTGGTAGTAGTTCTTCTTCTGGAATAAACTGAGCAGGCCAGGATCTTCTTTGTTGGCTTGCCGCATTGTCCTTACTCACCTTTCCAATTTGATGGAGATCCTTGACAATTATTTTTTCAGTATCTTCTAGTACCGTTGTCAATAAATTAAACAGGAGAGCAATCCAGGCAAGGCCGAAAAGAATCCAAATGGCCACCAGTGGTCGGTAGTAAGAGAAGTAATTCCTGCCAGGCCGTTTACCTGCAGTTAAGGGGAGAGAAAGAAGAAGAAAATGAACAAGTCAAAATTGCTTTGCCTGTGTAAAGTGGGCCAGCCTAATGAATTCATCAATATATTTTACATTGAGTACTTTAAGGTAACTTTTTCATTGTAGTAGAGTCTCTCACCTCCCCAGCATTAGGTTAAGACTGGGTAAGTATCTTTTTGTTACAATAAACTGATATAGGCTAGCGAAAACATGTTGGCCTGTCAAAAAGATATACTGGGATTGAGGTGAATTAGCAGCAGAGCAGCATATTTTTTTCTCCGTATAGCATACCAATACTGGGATTGAGGTGAATTAGCAGCAGAGCTAATTTTTCTCCGTATAGCATACCAAACCCAATTCAACCTCTGCATCTACAGGTAAATGCAGTGATGTGGGAAGTAGTGTAAAATTGTATTGTATTATTTTGAAAATATTCCCAAACTCCCAAAGCACAAAAAGCAGAGCACAGTGGGCCACTATAACCACACAACTATTACTACCCAGGTTATTCTAATTCTGTGTATTTCTATAAAGTGTGATTATAACCTAATAAATATTTGCTTTAAATTATGGGTACCCTTGATCATACAAAGAGAGTACTTGCAATTCCTACTTTACTTTTGAACGCTTCAGGAGCTTCCTCTATTAAAATACTAGGTGACTGATGAGGACTCACCGACACATGCCAAGAACACAATATTCTGTGTTGGAAACCAGTGGACTGAAGCCTATTTCATGCAGTCCAAACCTCTTAGCATCAGCCAGTATCGCACACCTGCTTTGCTGCATGGGTCATTTCGTTTATTTCTTCAGACATCAGCAATCCACCACCAACATACAGAGAGCATTTGCTCCTACTGCACTTTGTCCCACACAACATTATCATCATGATACAGCTGATATGGCCCTGGCATCTGCAGGAAAAGTTGGTAATATTGGTTAGAGAGTGCAGTCAGTCACTGTCAAGGGTGGCTCCACATAGTAGGTAACACATTGTGAAGCTGGCAGAAGGAGCCAAGATGCTGGCACCTCTTTTCAAGTCCTGCAGTGCTCTGTACTGCATAGATCAATGTGCATGATTTTTGTACTTCATCATGCAAGAGGTCTGGAAATTAGGCAGGAGTGGGCTGGTATGTCCTCATGGATAGATATCCAACAGCTGTTTCCTTTTCTTTCACTGGGGTTGAGTGGGCAGAGGGGATGCCAGACTTGCTATAAAGCATCTCCTTTTGTGCTCTTATCTGAAGTTCATGATGTGGGGTTAGAAAAACAACTAGTAATATCTTTGTAATGTTAACTCAAAACTGGACTTCAGCAGGGCATAAATTCAGTTTACAGCCCAAGGGGAGTTTCACCCTAGAGGTATCACCTATATGTAAATGTATTACAGTTAAATCCAGGCTCTGTCATCTTCTTCCTAGGATCTCTCCCTATCCAAAACAGGCTTTCTCATGCTTGAAGTACAACAGCTACAAATCAGTTTTGAATTACTAAAATGCAAATAAACTCAAACCTGTTCTGTTCCACTTGGCTAGTGCAAATCCATTTGTCATCTGTAATCAATTCTAAATGCATAATACTCAGAGAAGTCATTGATTCTGCTTGTTTCATTGTGAAGGTGTGAGGCATTAAACTTATCATCATTTTACCACTGTTGCTCAAGGCCAATTGAGATAAATACTGCAGGGAAAAATATTTCAGCTCCAGTTAAGTCATCCTAATGAAGATGAAATCACAGAGCCAGGAGGCCTATCTAATTGTTATTTTTTAACTGTATTTGTAAAATAATATGGCTGCAGAGAAGTAAAGTGCTATGGAGGTAGTGGTTTTCAGGCTGTGACTTGCTGTCATTACTGTAAATCACACTTGTAATTTGGACAAAGGAAGAGAATGCACCAGTTTGATGTTCACTTTTTTCTCCTGCACGGCACCAGCCACTCTCCACCTTCCTGTATTCCATGTCACTGAAGCTCAAGGTGCTCAGTATCACACAGACCCGGGTTATCAGTCTTACAGATGGTTAGGAAAGAAATGCCTGTGCCCTGTTGTCCTCCACTGCAGTGACAAAGATTGGCCCTAGCTGGACAAAACAGTGAGTAAAGAGGCCACTGTTGTGTGTTACAGATTCCTTGCTGATGCCTGAGTTCTGTGTCATGTTCATGGCAATACTGATTAACCACTGCTGGAGACAAAGAATCTTTCTTTGGATTATGTGAAAAGGGGAATTTGAGAGGACACTGGTTTCCTGTGCTTTGTAGCAAGAGGGAGCAGTTAGCTGGCTGGGATCACTTGCGGAAATGTGGCCTAATCAACTCATTGCCATTGCATGAATTAACCATCAGCGAGGCTACAAGATCATTATGATCACTAAACTCATGCAAACAAGCACAATGTCAACTCGATCGTCAAAGCACTACCCAGCCTCTTTAGCAGACTCAGAGAAATTAAGGTCAGCAGGGAATATCAGACAGTGTTTGGAAAAGCTAGTGGGCTCCCTCTGCCAAAGTCCTCAGCCTGATGTAAGAAATCTTTCAAACACACAGCAAGCCTGCCAGCCAGTCTCCAAGGCCCCTCTTGCATCTTTGCAAGGTTTGAGAGCCTGGTGGATGTCTGTCCATTGGAAAGGGATGTAAGGCTTCCAGATTCTCTGTAGAAACAGCACTGGTGCTCAAGCTTCAGAGCTTCCTTCTCATATCCCCACTGAAGAGAAGTTCAGGCTAGCAAGATGCTGGCAGGACAAGCTTTTGTAGAGAAATCTTTGATTCTCCATGGAAGTCCAGGTGTTTGATTGCTTCTTCTATGGATTTGGCTCCTGGTGATCATTTTGGAGTTCCTCAGGAAGCTTATTCCATGGAGAGTGCATTTTGGTCAGCGGATCTATGGAAGTGTTTCAAGAAGCACTGCAGCATGCTGGAATGTACAGTTTGTCTTCAGCATAAATCCTAAGCTCTGGCTTGTGAAGACAGAGAGCTGCCAGTGATGCATAGGAGACCCAAGGTGGCCACTTTCACAGTGATATATATGTTTAAGCCCCACTTCTCATAGAGTGAATAGATTTCCCCATTTTCCCAGGACTGGGATTTCCACCTCTCAGTCTGTTGTGTAAAATCATGTCCTCTGAAACATGACCACTTATCTCTTTACTCTGCACTTGGAGACATTAAGTCTTAGATGGCTAAAGCAGGGATACATGCCTTACTTTGCATGACTGTTGCAAACTGTTCCCTTTTGGTATATGCAAATTCCTAGGCTCCTTGAATTCTCCCCATACACTTCCCCTTCCCTTCCCAAAATACTTGGCTTATTTGCACCCCAAAGCACCACACTTCATTATATTTAGACAATTTTGTGCTTTTGTCAGCACATGCAATCCCAGACAAATGAGTATTTCCCCCAGAACTGTACAAGGCAAAGACTAGTCAAAGACTCAGAAGATTTGCCTCTACAGTATGTTGGTGGACTGTGCAGTCAACTCATGGTAATTACAGTCATAACCCTGGCATTTTGCTGTGTCTCCTCTCTGCAATCAACCTTACCTACTACATAATCTCCAAAGCCAATGGTGCTGAGGGTGATAAATGCAAAGTAAATTCCTTCACTGTAGGACCAGCCCTCTGTTCTCTGGAAGAAGAGTGATGGCAAGCACAGGAAAACTAGGATCCCCGTTGCCAGGAAGAACAAAAGGGTCAGAAATTTGATCTTCTTCTGAAAAAGAAACGAGTTCAATTGAAACCATCATTTGACACACTAGCAGGCTGTATATAATGGTGGCTATTCAAAATGGGTGGCTGTCTAGGAACACCTACTAGGACCAGAGGAACTGAAGGATTTGTATTGAGTGCTCTTCCTCTGAAAGTACCCTACCCTTGCTCTGAAGCAGCGGGGAGCCATGTATTATGGGTGTTGCATGTCCACAGTAGCCATGGGAGATGTAGTCTTTCATCTGATTGTATCAACCGCCAATGACCATGAGTGTAAGAGGAATTCCTATCCAATGACTTTTACTTTTACTGGAGTCAGACTATTTCCACTTTTCACCAAACAACTTCACTTTTAGTTTTTAGGTATTCAGGTGTGGCACCTAAAAAACATTCAAAATTGCCTGGGAAAATAGTCTTTTAAAAATAATATTTACACCATTTCTGACAGTACTTTCTCCAAGAGTCTTGATTGTTGACTTTATTTCTAATTGTATCACTGCCACAACTTGGCTCCTACCTAGTGGATACCTTACTACCAGAACACCTGTAACAAATGAGCTTCTGATGAAGAAGTGCCTGGACAGTGACTTTTGAACCATCCTACATTCCAGGAGTCATGAAGAAGGCTTGACTGAAGAAAAAGTCTTGTTATATATTAAGATTTATCAGCCACACACACATATAGTTTATGTATAGAATTTTATAAGTCCAGATTGTCTGGAAATTAATGGCAACTGTTGGATAATTTTTCATGCCTTCATGCATTGTGCATGTGCTTGAGTCTATATTTGATGAAGCCTTACATTCTATTTAAGTTTGCCAGACATGGGGAGAAATCTAGCAATTTGAACAGGGTTGTCTGTAGCATTCATACCTTGAAAGAATTACAGTAGGAGACACAGAAAAGCTATTCTCACTTCCTCAGTAGTGGTGAGAGAAGGGGAGGAGCTGTAAATAACTTGGGGTGTAACAAAGCAAGACACAGGGTGTCTCTAGCCCTTTACAGATTCCTCCTCACCTTTCAGCAACTAGGCTCAAATGGACAACTTCAGCCTGATGTTTCCTTTCTGTCAAGGTCAAAGGAGGAGAGGAATTAAAGGACTGCATAATGAATAAGGAGGGGTGACACACTAGGCGTTGAGTCAATATCCATTGAAACCCTTACAACTCATCTACATTTTACAGCTTTTTACAGCTCATCTGCTTTTTGCTGCCTCCAGATGAGATGCTTAATCATCTCTCTCTTTACTAGTTATAAAGGGACACAGGTACTTCCCTAGAGTGTTAGCTCCTGAGATAAGTGCCTAGAGAAGTGGGATGAGGTGCCCACTCTCTCCACTGATTGCTGAAGGGGGATTGAAGATGAAGTCTGCCATTTAGATGGGTAGACAAAATGCATCCCTTTTTCTGAATATCTGTCTCCTCTATGGTTGCCTTGTCTGTTCAGCTCCACAAGTCAA